GATAACTTGCTTCGTTTTAATTAAAGAAGATCTATCTAGATAGCTAAAAAGGCGACTACTTCGGTTAGTTAACGCCGAATCTATTATTAAGTTCTTTTAAAAAGATATCGTTTGCCGTTACGGATTGTTCGAAAGACTAATTATCGATAAAAGGCTCGAAAACAAAGCAGTTGTTAAAGCTTTCGTTATTAAGTACGAGATTAAAAGGGTTTAAATCTCGAGCTACAATTTAAAAGCTAATAAAATAATTAAGAAAAGACACAAAGATATCTTAAATAGCTTATCGAAAGTCATAAACGAAAGATTTAAAGATTAGGTTCGTAAATTTAATAAAATGCTTTTTGCGGTTCGAACTTCGATACACGCACTTATTAAAATTACTTTTTTTTTCTTAAACTACGGACGAAAAGTTAAGCTACTTTTAGAATTACGATAGCTAGTTTAAAAGTTATTATTATAGCAAAAGGTTCGATCCCGCGCTAACTTATTTGCTATAAAGTTTAAACAATTAGAACTTCGAGACGAAGATATCGATAAGATCATTTTAAAGAAGAAACGTTATCGACTTGCCGTTAAAGCTATTTAAAAACGAGTTAAAGTCTTAAAGTCGGAACTTATTAAAAAAAAAGATCTAATACTCTTTTACGATATTAAACGAAGCATCGATATATCCGCAGATACTAAGTTAAACTATAAGTAGCTAAGACTTTATATCGTTTTTAAAGCTTACGATAAAAGATATTACAAACTTTAAGAAACCGATAGAATTAAGCTTAAAAGCACTTTTGTAGCTAACCGCTTTAAACGATTCTACCGCCGCGATCAAACTTTCTTTTTTTTTAACGACGACGAAGAAAAAGAAAAAGAAGATTCGAGCTTTTTAAATAACTCGGACCTTAATGAATACGAGCTTTTCGACGACGGCAAAAGTGAACTACTTAATTTAAGAATGATTTTTAAACTTAAGCTTATTAACTTTTAAATCATTCTTTTAACACTTTCGAAAGAATAAAAACTAGCTTACAAAACTGTTTTTTAATTTGTTTCTTTTACTTTGTTTTTTTACTTTCTTATCTTTTCTTTGTTTTATACTTATTTTATAAAAAGACGTATCTTAATGATCACTTTTTTTGTTTTAATAAAGAAAGGTATTTCTTACGTTTGTCTTTTTACTTTTAGACTTGCTTTTTATTGTATTTTTTGTTCTTTCCTTATTCCTTTCGCTTTATTAGCTATTTACTTATTTTATACAAATTGTTTTTATTATTTAATTGTTTTTCATTTGTTTTAAGCTTATACGGTTATTTCTTATTTCTTAATCGAGACTGTTCTTTTGTTTTAAGCGTGCTTAATTACGTGTATTCGAAGGTGAACTGCTATTAAGAAGAGTAGGTCTTCTTTACAAATGTACTTATATAAGAAAGCTTTTTTCTTCTTTCTTCTTAACATTTTCTCTTTTTATATAATAACAATTATAATAATATTATTATTACTTTCTTTTTTTACAATTATATAATACTACGCTAATACTAACGACTTTAATCATCACTTAATCAATTATTATTATTATTAGCTTTTATTCCGTTATCTTATATTTAACTCGTAAACCGTAATTCACGAGTTAAATATACTTTTTAAGTCAGCCGCCGCTAAAAGAAAAGCTTTTGTCCGGGATGCACTTTTTAGCTTATTAATAAGCGAAGAGCAAGCTGCTTTAATCCGATAATCGAGTTTCGAATTAAAGTTCGAAAGACGAGTTATTAAGACTTTCGATAAGTTCTTTTAAATTTACCGCTAAATAAGCAATTTTAATCAATTAATTATGCTTAAAGTAGCAACCTTTGACCTTAATAATAAATTAAGTAAAAAAGACAACTTAATCTTGCAATACGATTAGTTCTTGCGAGTCGAATACGTAAGAAAGAATATAAACGCCGAAGACCTTTTTTCGGCTTACGACTAATTTATTATTAAAATCACCGTTATCTATTCTTTACGCAATAAAAACGCTGAAAGACATAAACGAATTAAAAGAGCTTTCGACGGCGCTAAAAGTTAATTGCTATACGACGACTACTTTAAAGTTATATGTATCTTAATCCGTAACGCTCGCTAATTAAGCGTCATTCTAAAGACTTGCACCTTTAACGCTTACGCTATTTAAATTATCAATTATTATATTATTGCTTACGTCGCTTTTTAAAAGATTATAATTAATATAGCTCGAAGACGCAAGTTTATCAAGCTTAATGCTACGATAGTCAATTTCACTTGTTAAATTATAAAAGATAAGACTAATATTAAGTAAAAAGATAAGATTGCTATTCCGGACGAAAGATTTTTAAAAAAGCTAAGACTAAAGGTCTTATTATATAGCTTGTTAATTTTAGCTTTCGATAATATTAAAAGCGAATACGACGAGCTTAAAAAACGTATAAAGTTCGCTAACGAAAATTAAACTTAGAATTTCGTTTTACAAAAAAAACTCGAATCCGAACTTTTATTCGTAAACTATAGTTTACGAGTATTAAATAATTCAACAATTAAAGCGAAATTAAATTAACCTTTTGCTTTTAAGACCCTTTTGCTTAAATCACTTATTGCGCGCCTTTTATTATTATTAACCTTATCTTAAAGATCGATATCATCCTTTGCTAATAAGCTTTCGAATGCTAAACTGATTGCTTCGATTATATTTATTTTACGCAAGTCTACTAACGTAAGCTCTTTTTTAGCTTTTGCACTTAAAGTATAACGCAACCTTTTCGAAAATTAGCTGTTATTAGTATTACCCGTTAAAAAAGAAAATAACTTCGAGTACGAACTAGCTAAAGCCGTGTCGAACCGCTGCTTAAGACTCGTCGAAATTAAAGACTTTATAAGTATAAACGTAACTCTTATCAACTTTTGTTAAGACTTCTACTAATTAACTTTCGACCGCTTAAATTTAAACGAGAATATCGATAATGCTTTTTAAGTTGCCGCGGAGTCGATTAAAAAAGCTATTAGCTAGATCCGCAAGCTTTTAAAAGACGAATTTTTTAATAACGCGATCTTACGACTTTTCGACCGTCGTAGCTAAATAAAAGTAAGTAAAAAAAATAGCAAAGTAATAAACTATTTCTTGCTGTTCGAGATTTTTAATTTAAGCTTTAACGACGACGATTGCGATTGCATAAAGATCTCTTAAGAAATAAAAAACGTATTAAAATTTAAAGATAAGTTTAAAGAATTCTTTAACTTAAACGTTTAAACGAAGCTTTGCTTTAATCGCAAAGTTTTATCGTCCGCTATCGAACTATTAAATAAAATCTTTTACGAAGTCTATACTTTCGAATACGTTAAATACTTTAAGCTAGCTACGAAAGGCTTTATAATAATAATAATCCGTTTTAATTTATATCGATTTATCGAAGCTTATTAAACTAACGCTTTTAATAACTTTATGCTTTACTCGAGCAATTAATCGATATTCGCTATTAAGACCAAAAGCAATACTTTAATTAAAAGAATGTTTAGCTTAAGCTTTTTTAAGTTTAAAGCTAAGCCGATATCTTTTAATAAGCTGAACTAAAGCATTAGCTTGATAAGCACCGCTTAAAAGAACAGCTTTCTTAATATTATAAATGCGAATAGCTATACGAAAGTTTAACTTATATTAAGAGCTTCTTTTTTAAACGATAAGCACGGCAATTAAACTTTCTTAATTATTATAAACAAAAAGATTTAAATATATTTGCACCACTTTCGAACTAATAACTTAAAAAGAGCTTTAATTAATATACTTTTTAATATAATGCACTCTTTGACTTAATAAGTCTTTCGAAGCTATTATAAGCTATACTTTGCCGCTTTGCTTAATCGCCGAGACGAGAACTATAAGCTTATCGCTTATCCGGAACCTTTTTAACTCTTTAAATGCAATAATAATACTCGAGTGATTACGACCAAGCACGACGCTAATATTAAACGACCCGTAAACCGTAGTTTACGAATAAAAAATAAAGTTTTAAACTATCACTTAATGCTTTATAGCGTAAAGAATCAAATCGAAAGCTTAGCTATTTAGCTTAAAAGCTATACTTACGATACAACTCTTAAAAAGACTATTAAATAAAAAGCTTTTAGATTTAAGTCGAAGACTTTAAATGCTTTTAAGAATATTACGCTACGCTAACTTTTCGTTATAATTAATAATCTCGCTACTTTTATATCCGTTATTACGAAATAAAGTGTTTTCTTAAATATAAACGCTTTTTAAAATTCGTTTTGCGGATAAGCGATTTTCTTTAATAATTACACCGCTTTGCTAAACGATAATACTTTAAAAAATAAAATTAGCTTTATAAAGTACGCTTGCACGATCGTCTTAAGACGTATACCGTTAACTTTTCGATAGAAATTTATTAATAAATTAAGCTAACTTTTCGCTATTATAATTTAATTAAACTACGTTAATTACGTATCAAAAGCTTTAATCGAAAAAATAAACTAAAACGAACTTCGAGTAATAAAAGAATTGACTACTATCTTTACTATGTCTCGGACTTAGTTTTAAAAACACTTTATTAAGTATAAAAAGAAGTTATTTTCGGCATTTAAAAAAAGATTTGCTATTATATTAAATGTTAAAGCTAAAACTTATAAAGCTAAGTTTTTTTTTAAAAGCAAAAGCCGTCGAGCTAACGACTTTATAAACGCTAATAAGTTAAAGGATTTTAAAAAGAGCTTGCGACCGATTAAGTTGTCTTTTAATAACTTCGATTTAAGTATAAAGATTAATTTAAAAAGTGCGAAATCTACTCGTAAATTATAGTTCACGAGTTAAATCGACGACTTTAAAGCATTATCTTTTCAACCGGAATCTTTAAACCGCGCATTTAATAAAGCTATAAAAGCTTTAAATGACTTGCTTAAAGACGAAGACGACTTAATTAATAGCTCCGGACTTTATTTTAGCTTCGTTGACTTTCCGTCGGCTAAGTTCACACTTATTAACGATGCTATTAGCAATAAACGTAAAAACGATACGCGCTCTTTTACTTTTAAAGATGCTGCTATTAGTACGTTATCGTTTAATGCTAGCTTTGCTAAAAGAAAAAGACCTTCTTAGCTTAAAGAGAACGAAAGAGTTAAGGACGTAAGCACGAAAAGAGACTATAAAGAAGCTGCCGAAGCGTAGTTTAATAGTTTGGATATTTAAAGTTTAAAGACAAGATACCCTTTTCTTTTTTTTATACACTAGATTTTTTTTCTTTTTTTTACACCTTTTTTTTTTTCTTTTGCTTGATAGTAAGCGGAAGCGCTTACTTATTTTATAAAAGGACGGATGTAAACACCTTGCTCGAAAAGGTACTTGCTATAGCTACTAAGGCCATACTAAACGGACTTATCTTCTATAAGAAAGCATATATCTTTTAGCTAGAACAATTAACGAGCTTTCTACTTATCTTTTTAGCATTTCTTTATGAGATTATAAAGTCTAGCCTCAGAGCCAGGCTTCTACACGGCACATCTTTTTGGGTGCTTCTACATTATAAAGGAGCTTCTTAAGGCCTTAAGAGAAGATCGGCTTCAAATGGCTATCAAAGCTATTAACAATACGGCGGGACTTAATAGCTTAGTCTTTACGCTTTTCGTTTTTAACACTTTACCGAAGCTAACGGAGCAAGATCGACTTGCCGCGTTTACTTAAAAGCGTGCTATTGCTATTAACAAAGCTATAAAGGAAGTACGAAAATGCTACGCTGCGAAGCAGGTTAAGGACGCGCTTAAAAGGAAAAATGGCCTAATTACGGAGCATACCTTAGACCTCTTTATTAGTTTACGGGTATTCGTGTGGCAAGAAAACCAAAGGTGGAAGGGCTCTTTTCAGCTGCTTAGCAAGCAAGGGCACACGTGTATAGTAGCATGTCCGAGGCTTACGGAATTCAGGTCAACCTTAATAAAACCTTATTACTTTGAAGTTGAAAAGCTGCTAGAAGAGTTGCAGGTACTTGAGGTAAAGGTAGAAGAAGATTAAAGCGAAGGCGAAAAAGAGCTGGAACCGAGAAATTCGCTTAAACCTTAACATTCGCTTAATCCTTTACCGAAGTCGCGTAATCCGACAAGTCCGCTAAGACTAGCAAATACCCTTTTCTCGAACCTTTAACTTGTCAATTCTTAAAGATCAATAATACTAATGGTCTAGATACCTTATTAGAAGTACGATCTTAGTATCCCGACCGTGCTCGACGAAGAAGAAGGCGATTCTTACGTTCTATTTATTAAAGACTCTGAAGTGTTTATTACCGATAAAGAACGCCGGGACTATAAGCTTTTAGTTAAGCTACGAGCCGAAAGAATCATTAAGAGCTTCGGAGCACCGTTTTAAGAATCTAAAGCAAAGGAATTAATAAGATTAATAGCTTAAAGCATTTTTTAAGTGATTTCGAGTATTAATCTACGTGCTAAAAGCGTTAAAATCTTCGGATTTAAGTTTATTAACGAGATTAAAAGCAAAAGAATACTTACGCTATACGAGAAGTCTCGTATAATAGTTTAAGCTTTTTAAGATAAAAGCAAAACGAAAGTACTTATCGAGTCACTTACGGTGCAGCGAGCGAGCTAAAGACTTTATTATACTTTAGCTTTTTTTCTAATAAAAGATTACGAGTATTAAGTTTATAATAAAGATATTACGTAAGCTTATATTTAATTAAGCACGAAGCTTATTTAAATAATCGTCGTACGATTACTTAAAGAGATCATTTATCGATTCTTTTTCGGCACTTTATTCTTTATAATTAGCTTTTTATATAAGATCTTCGAAGCAAGAACACATTAGTATAAGCGTTTTTTAAAGCATTTTATAAACAACTTCGAGATAAAGCAATCGAGTTTTGATTCTTGCTTTTTTATATCAATTAATAAAGATCAGTTAAGAATAGCTGCTTTATAAACGGACGATGTTCTTATAGTTGTTAATCGAGTTATAAAAGCAAAAGAAGAAAAAGAGTTAGTCAAATCTAAGCTGAAGAGCAAGGAAATAAAGACTTTTACACACGCTAAACCGATGATTTTCAATAGATGCAAGCTATCTTTAAATAAAAACGGGTTCGGATTATCAGTTAAGTAGAAAAAGCAAGGTGAAAGGCTTGCCGTGATTAAGCTCGATTTAGCAATACGAGCTAAAGAATACTTAAAGCAACGTGCTCGAAAAGCGTATTTAATTATTATTTATTACTTAAAAGCATCTTGTGCTCTATCGATAGCTGCTTAACATTAAAAACCGAAGGACGAAGACTACAAGGCTTTTAATAAAGTGATCTAATAGCTAATCGATTACTCAACTCGAAAGATCTATTACGTGCTTTTAAACTTAAAGACGGCGAAGCTCTTTATGTTCGTAGACGGAGCGTTTGTTAACAACGCTGACCTTAGCTTTTAAATCGATTTCGTAGCTATTTTTAGCAATAAGGCTTACGTAAGTGAGAACGAGTTCACTTTAACGGGTAATATTTTTTATTAAATGTTATAAAAGTGCAAGAAGGTGATAAAAGTAGTATTAGCTTTTAAGCTATACGCTATATCTTTAAGTATCGATATAGCTATTGCTATATCGATTACTTTTGCTTAAATCACGGCTTAGTTAAGAATCTTTAACTTCTTTATAATAGTGTATATTGATTCGTACTCGCTTTACGAATGCATAATAAAGTTAAGAACTATTAAAAAGAAGCGCTTTATAATCGATATTATAGCTATTCGGAAGTCATACGAAAAGCAAGAGCTCTTTAAAGTACGTTAAATCGAAAGCAAATCTAACTTTACTAACGTTATAACTAAAATCGAAGCTAATACCTCTTTGCAAGAGCTAGTTTTAACTAATACCTTGAAGGTGCAGGTAAACGGATAAGTAAAAAGGCCGTTATAAGAAAAAGGAGAATGAGTTTTGATAGAATGAGATTGTTTTTCCTTTGTTTAATCACCTTCCTTTTTTTTTCGGTCGATATAATAGTTAGCAAAGCACTGCTTGCTAAAAAGAGAGTTGCCGGTGTCGGTATCTTTATATCGACCTTAGCTAGCTAGTAGTAGTAGTTGAGGAAAGCTTACCCGTGAACTATAGTTTACGGGTCACTTAACATGCCTCGCTTAGCATATCAGCAGTTAAAGGACCCTTAACTTGACAAGTAAGCTTATTAGTTAGCTAGTGCACGTGATTCCTTCTAATCATATAAAAGGAATCAGCTCCCTTGAGCCTTAAGGAGCAGACAGAATTCAGATACCTTATCAACCGAGTGTTTTGCAATTGCAAGTACTTTGACGACCTTACGAAGTTACGAATATATTCTTAATCGCTTGGAAGCAATCCAACATTTATAGCCGCAAAACTAGTCGAAATTCTACGGAGCAGACTTATAGCTGCCGGAGTCTTAAACCTTTAATTATACACTGGCCACAGCTTTCGTCGTAGAGGCGCTTCACAAGCTGAACTAAATAGAGTCACTTATAAAAAGATATAATTGATAAGACGTTAGACTTTAAACGCTTTTCTAAGCTACTTATATATAAACTTGGTCTTAAAATTCGCGCTTAGCTTACGAATCTTAGCAAAACGCTGTCCTTTATTATAAAACAACCTTTATAAGTTCTTCCTTTTTAAAAGCATTTAATCCTTTAATCAAACCTTACAATATCACAACTTTACTAGCCTCGAAGTCGCCTCACAAATACACTACACTTACTACTATTATAAAACACGTCTTTATAATACTATATTACTACACACATATTCACTTCGCCTCGTAGCACTTTTTACATCTAGCTACAAATCGCTTTTCACCTCTTACTTCCTTTAAACCCTTCACTTCCTTTTAGCATAAGCTTCACCTTAGCTTCTTTGAGCTTAGCTTATTCTATGACAGCTGGCTTCGTTTTAATAAGCTACTCTTAACTACTTCAAAAGCTTGCTAGCTAGCTATCATTACATCAATTAAAGCTTAAGGGCGCTTGTCAGCTAAAACTCATAAGAACTTCACCTTTCCTTTTTTTAAGCAATCGAGTTTAAAAATAAAATGTTTGTGTTTATGCTCTCAAAGGAAGAAGCGGGCTATAACCTTTAATGCTTTGAAAAGCTGTCGGTAAGATACAAGATAAAGGTCTTTAGTTAGTTTAAGCTATATTATAGTAGTAATTTCCTAGAGTCAAAGGTCTTTAGCAACGATCGATTGCTTAGAAGTCATTTTCCTTACCCGCTATCTTTGGCCTTACTTCATGTATTCAGAATGGCTTTAATTAAGAGCGTTAAGCTTCTTTGAGCTTAGCTTATTCTATAACAGCTAGCTTCGTCTTAGCAAGCTACTCTCAGCTACTTCAAAAGCTTGCTAGCCAGCTATCATTACATTAATCAAAGCTCAAGGGCGCCTGTCAGCCAAAACTCATAAGAACTTCACCCTTCCTCTTTCCAAGCAATCGAGTTTGAAGATAAACAAACGAATAAACGAAAATAAAACAAAACAAGATGAAACAACGTCGAAAAAGCAAACTTACCCAGCCCACGCGATAGTCAGTATCCAGTTTTCAGTATCCAGCTAGCCAGCCAGCTTCAGCGCCCAACAGAAATTTTAGAGAAAATAATAAAATGACTTAGACAAGACACCGCAAATAAATTCGTCAATTCGTATGAATATGTGCATACGACTTTCCTAATTTATTTTTTTATTTTCCACAATCTCGTGTACATGATTACCTGCCTAGCGCGCTGCTAGTAATTATGTAGGTAGATAGCTGCGCATCCCATTTCCGGATTCCAACGCCCTGGAGACTCATCCACACCCATCCACGTTCTATATAGTAGATATGTGTGTATATCTCTCTGCCTATCTCTTTCTCGACATTATGTTCTTCCGTCACTCCGTCCGTTCGCAAACAAACGATCCAGAAAAACCACCAGAGCTCAAATCCGGGAACCCATCCGCGCAAAATTCGACGAAACTCCTAAACAATCCGCGAGCCACGCACGCCCTTGGACTCGGGCGGCACCTCTTCGGTGTTATATCGCGAGAAGACACTGACGCTGAGGTCCTTGTTGGTGTAGCCGAAGCCCCGGTCCCGGCGGCGGAAGAAGATGCGCTTGCCCCACTTCCACGACTCGACGCCGGCGAAAAACAGGATAGTCTCGACGACGACGACGATCCACTCCCAGGAGATGCCCTCGTGGCGGAAAACGCGGTCGTTCAGGCCCGGGATATAGAGGGTGGGGAAGACGGTGATGAAGCCGGCCGCGATGGACCAGAAGAGGAACTTGTTGCGCCAAATGTCAATGGCCCACTGCGTGAAGTACTTCTTGGACTTGGGCTGCATGCGGAAGAAGGAGCGACGCATGTTGACCATCTCCCAGGCCAGGAAGAGCGAGAACCAGGTCATGCAGACGAAAGTCGTAGCCCGCGCCCGGAACACGTTGTAGCAGCCCTGGTCGATGGAGTCGTTGCAGCCGATGCCGAACTTGCCATCATTGAAACCGAAGAGGACGACGGAGAAGGAGGAGAGACACAGCGCGGCCATCCAGAGCCCGTAGACCAACATGTCCACCATGATCTCCATGGTGAAGACGCCCGTCTTGAGGGACTGCGGCGGCCGCTGCATGATGTCAGGCGCCGCCACTTCGAAGCCGAGGCCCATGTCAGGGAGCGAGGACGTGATCATGATGATCCAGAGGATCTCGACGGGGGAGAGCGGAAAGACGGAGAGATCTTCCTCGTCTTTAAACGCGAGCCCGATGAGCAGAGTGCATGCTTGCCCGATGTTCTGAGCGAGCAGATGCAGGATGAACTTCTGGATGTTGTCGAACATGCGGCGGCCTTCTTCGACAGCGTTGAGAATCGAGGCGAAGTTGTCGTCCGTCAGGATAATGTCGGAGGCGTCTTTGGCCACATCAGAACCGGCTTGTCCCATTGCGATGCCGACATCTGCACGTTTGAGCGAGGGTGACTAATGGAATGTTAGAGCATTGTGTCTGCGGGGCGAGGAGAGCTTGCGAAATCTGGGTACGGATCTCTTGCGAGCCACAGTTTGTTTGCGGGGGATGGAGACGCGGTAAGGGGGTACGGTACATACATCGTTGACACCATCCCCAGTCATCGCAGCAAAGCAATCTCTCCTATGCAGCGCATCAATCATCCGTACTTTCGTATCCGGCGAGCACCTCGCAATGACCAGCGGCAAGACCGGCAGGTCATCAATCTCCTCATCACTCAACTTGTCAAACTGACTCGCAGTCATGACCATCGCATCCACCATCTTCTTCGACAGGTCCCCGATGTTAGCTGGCAAGATGCCGACTTGGCGAGCGATCGCGCTTGCGGTCCCCGGATGATCACCCGTCAACATGTGCACCACAATGCCGGCTTGGTGGCACTCCTTCACGGCACCTTCGGACTCGGGTCGGGGCGGATCGTAGATACCGATCAGGCCTTGAAAGATGAGATCCGTCTCGACCTCCTCGCGATTCTCTTGTTCGTTCTTGCCCATCGGTCCATGCCACTCCTTGTTTGCGAGGGCCAAGACTCGAAGGCCCTGGGAGGCCAGAGCTCCCATGTTGGCCAAGATCTCGGATTGAATCTCTTCGGTCAGCTCGACCGGCTCGGCGCCCGAGTCCCGTTGGATGAGAGGGCAAGATTGGATGACGCGCTCCACGGCACCCTTGGAAAAGACCATGGCCTTTTCGGCGGACTTGAAGATGACGCTCATCTTCTTGACGGTCGAGTCAAAGGGAAATTCGGCGATTTGCTCCCACTTGGGCGACTCGCCCGTTGTAAAGCGCTCTCTCTGCCAGTTGAAACGGGCTGCGAACACTTGGATGGCGATTTCGGTCGGATCACCGGTAGCTTTCCAGCCCTCATCGGATTTGTGGACCTTGGCGAGATTGGCTAGCGTGGCGATGTTGAGGTAGCCTTCCAGCTCGGGATGTTCGTCCAACAGCTCTTGGTAGGTCTTGGGGGTATCGTCGTCGACTGGTTTCTTCTCCCCCGGAACGAACTCCCCCGGAACACTGGGGACTGATTGCGATGGGGGGATGGGACTGTAGGAAAGCTGGGCGTCGGTCGGGTCCACGGGATCGTTGGATTGGCCAACCGAGAATGTTCCCCGCGAAGGAATCCAAGCCTTCTTCACCACCATCTTTCCTTGGGTGAGTGTCCCTGTCTTGTCGGAGCAGATGTCTATGCGATGTTAGAGGGCCGCCGGGTTTCGGCTTTCCCGGTCTTGAACTTTTCAGACTTACCTGTCACAGCTCCCAATGCTTCCAATGAATCGAGTTTGCGGACAACGACATGACGCTCCACCATACGCTTGGTCCCCGCAGCCATGGTGATGGTGAGGACGACAATGAGCGAGGCGGGGATCATGGACAATCCAGTAGCGACAGCATAGATGATAACCTGGCTCAGGCGGTCAGCGTCTGATTGGTTGGCAGCCTCGAGGGCTCTACAGGGGGGAAGTGGATCTGCTGTAGAACATGACTGCAGAAAGAAAGGACCCTACCTCTTTATTGTCGGAGAACTTGTTCGCACCCATGACGATAAGCGCGCACACGACTGCGATCCCGAATAGCAGGATAGCGAATTTTGAAAGCTTGCGCTGGAGCGGTGTTCCCACATTGACTCCCAGAAAATGACCAATGAAGTCACCTGCGACCAAGCCCCAGAATTGCATGTACCGATGCGGTTTCACCTTCCCGTCTGCCTTCCGCTTGGGCTCTCGCTTCTTGTTCCCGGATTTTCGAAGTGCGGAAGCGATGGACCCAATCTCAGTCTTCATGCCAGTTGCGAATACTGCGCCACGGGCGCGCCCCTTGGTGACGGTGGACGAGCTGTAGGCCACGTTCAGACGGTCTCCGGGACCGGTTTCCGCAGGAAAGGTAGTCGCAAAGTCTTTCTGGACGGGGAGCGATTCGCCCGTCAGGAGAGCCTCGTCCGTCTCGAAGTTCATAACCTCGATCAGCCTGTAACAACATGATCAGTCTCCAAGGCCTTCGGGGGGGAGGGGGCCTGAAGGGCTACGAGGGAGCTCACCTGATGTCCGCTGGTACCACGTCACCCGTCTTCAGCTCAACCAGATCTCCGGGGACCAGATGCGCCGTGGCCACGGTCTCGTTCTTTCCATTGCGGATAGCGCTTGCCGTCGGCGAGCTGAGCGATCTCAGCGAGTCGAGGGTTTTCTCGGCGTTGAACTCCTGGAAGAAACCAATGACGATGTTGAGGAAGATGACAGCCGCGACGACTCCGCCCTCGATCCACGCTGCGATGGCGAAACTGACGGCCATGGCAATGATCAGGATCTACCGCGAGTTAGCAGGCACGGACCCGGCTCGAAGTTGGGGACCGGATGGCGTGACAGTTGGGACTGACCAGAATCATGGCATTGGCAATCTGTCTGATGAGAATCTTGACGGGTTGGACGCCGGGACCATCGTCCAGCTGGTTGAGCCCATACTCTGCCAGTCTCTTCGCTGCTTCTTCGGACGTCAGACCATCTGTGACATTGACGGAAAGCTCAGCGACCACGGCATCGACGGTCAAGGCATGCGGGGGTTGCGAGAGTGGCTTGTTGGATTGGCCCGATACGTGGACCTCTTCGGCCTGGCGTTCCTTGTTGTTTGCCATGGTTGGAAACACAGACAAAGGAAAGTGGATTATCAGTATATCTTGGAGGGGTCAGAAAGAAAATCTCTCGGAGGGGGAGGTTGGGGGAACTCGCTTACTATTATATATGCATGTCAACTGAGTCTGACGGGGTCAGAAAGAAATCTCTTGGAAGGGGGAGGGGCACTCGCTTACTCTTATATACGTATGTCAACTGAGTCTAAGTCTGGCTGCCCAGACGCAAGCAGGCCCAACGTCATGAGAGCTGGGAAGTACCCGGCCCCCTGTCCCCATACCAAGGATCACGGGTTTCGCTTGGGACGAGGGGGGTTAGGATAGACAGTGAACGTTCGTTCGACTACAGGATTGGCAGATAAGGTGGTGAAAGTAGTGAAAGTAGTGGTAGTAGTAGTGCTATTAGGGCCGGATTGATGAGTCCGGCTGGGATAGCGGACCGGGGCAATTCTGGTCTGTCAGGTCTCGGGTTTTGGTTCTGGTTCTGGTCTCTCGGTCAATTGTCATGGTGTCACGGTGTCATGGTGTCATGGCTCGGCCACCAGAACAGCGGGTAGAAGCCAAAACGGCCTTCTCGAAGCTTGGCCATCGTGCCGTCGTAGGGTCGTGATCGCGATCGTGATCGTGATCGTGACCGTACTAGTAGGGTTGTTGCTCTTGTCGTCGTCGTCGTCGTCGTCGTGGGGGGTGGTCGTCCGTTGCTCGTTCGTACAGTAGTATAGCAAATAGTTCAAGTAGTCAGTTGTGACCTGTGAGCGGTAAGTCATTCGGAGAGAGAGAGAGAGAGGAAGAGAGAGAGGAGGGCACTGAGTCGCTGAGAGTTCAGGGTCGAGGGTGCCAAGAGCCAAGAGCCCAGCCGCTAACCAAGACGAGAGTGGCAGTGATTCGCGTAGACGCGCTACCCCACTACCCCGCCAAGGCCCCCGCGGGGACATAGCAACGTCATAAGTAATTGTTAGTAGTGGTGGGGAAGGACGATTCCGGACTGGAGCTTTGTACTAGTACTACAGTAGTAAGTACGTAGTAGTAGTAGTAGTAGTAGTAGGTAGTAGTACCGGTAGTAGTAGTAGTAGTAGTAGTAGTACTAGTAGTACAATAGTAGTAGTACTTGTAGTATCAGTACGGAATACACTCGCTCACGAGATTAGATTAGATTAGCGGCAGGCGATAAGGAGGGACGCCGCATACGGAGAGAGATGACCTACTCCGTACAGTACTAAAAGAAGAAACCGCCCGGACTCTGCTGCCAAGGACGCGATGCACATACAGAATGCCAACTCTCGGCATGTGTGAATGTGTACGGTGAATATGTACGGACTGGGAGTATGTGCACTTTGGCACCGCTAGGTCGGCCGGGAAGATTCAGACTCGACCAGACACCGTATACGAGCAGTACACATTATACCAACGGTCCAAGGCAAGCGACTCGAAGGGCTCCGTAGGTATCATCAACAAATCCTTTCATGATATAGCCACAGAGAGTTAAGCGAGTGAGTGTGTTTACTCAACCTACTCTGTAGGTACCGAGTACTACGTACTACGTATATCCTCGGAAGAGCAGCTCAGCTCCCCGTCGACCCTTGGCCAAGAACAACCCCACCCCCCCAACACAAAAAAAAAATCATCACATTCGCATGTGCCGTCCAGAGCCTCGTCTTCGATATCCTCTCCAATCAAGCAAGGTCGTCTGTTTCCCTCTACATATTTACAGGCGTACTCGTGCGCTAGCATATCTGTCCCCATGTCGAAAACCGTCCCAAATATAAAGTGTAATTGACCAAATTCAAGCGTAGCCAACCATACAGAGGCTTGCAGACCCCTTGCCCCGGCCTTAAAACGTCAACGCATGGTGATCGATTCGACTTTATATTTGGTACGTAGGTAAAAGAAGCAAAAGACAGAATCACCGGTTGCTAATATTAGTAAAAGGAATAAGATATCGGATAGAATCAGTCCTAGAGAGAGATATACCCATTCCTTCCTGCACCTACTTCAGAGTGACTTTACAATTCCTCTCCCCCATCTTTGAGAGGTTCGTTCCTCTTCTTCGGCTCCCATTTATTGAACGACTCAGAAACCTTTATAACCATTTCGGACATCTGCAAACCCGATGCCACTATCGAGATTCACATCGCTCTTGCTAGCCTTCAGCTTCCTCTTTAACAGAGCTCAAGGATTTGAAGAAGGGAATCTCCCCGGAAAGAGAAATCATCAGCTATCGAACAGCTATCAAAACAAGTTCAAATCTCACTTGATTTATGCAACATGAGCCTAGACAAACTAACGCAGATCATAAGCAGAGGCCGAGAAAATCAATGCGAAGCACAAGCCAATGTAGAGAGATAAACGATTTGATAGAGCCTACTGCTTATGCAGAGGCAGACGATAGGTATTGTGTTGTCAGAGCCGGAAGTGACAAGATTAAAAACGCGCGCAAAGATATGTATCCCAAGATTCTTACCGGGTGACTTCGGAGGATGGTCAGATGGAAGAGAAGAAGTTATGGTCGCAAGGCGAAAGAGGCGCCGTGGATTCCATCGCGATACTTATGCCAGACCCCGAGAGAGTGCGGCGCTTCTCATGGGTCGCGAACATATATATGATGGGTGAAGAGTCGCAGATGCTCATCCCAACTGATATGGTAAACTGACGATGAGTTAGATCTGTAGTCTGGATGCTTTGCAACAAGGGGAGAGCTATTTCGTTTGATTATTCGACAGACGACGTTTTATGGGCAGGGGTGGGGTGTAACTGGAAACCTTGGATTTCCGACGTTTTTTCGTCCCGTAGAAGAATGATGCTTGAAGCATGCTTTGGCATTGGTGATATGATTGAAAAAGGGAGTGTGGCTCGTCAATACGGAGGAAACTCATCTACAACGTAGTACGTAGTACGTGCTGCTGGAGCCTTGGCCGTCTTGGGCTTGTCGGAACCGCATCCACTTATCGTAACTTAAAAAGAAGCTCTCGTATCAGGCTGGGCTGGGCTGGGCTGGGTTGAGATTGTCGATTACAAGTGTTACTCCCTGCTTGACCGGGGATAACACTTCACCGCTATAGTGGTAGTTGTATAACTATCTTGCTAATGTATTATCGGTAATATTGTTGGAAGTATTCATCTTTAATATCTTGATTAGAAATAGAGGCATTTAAGTGTGTACTTTTTGGGTATGTATATCGGTATTGGTGGTCAGGATGTCTATTGAATAGTTCTATATGCGTAGCGTGCTTTATTGGTTGTCTATCATTGCCACTTCTCAAATTTGCGTCTTTCCGCGTTTTCTTTATTGGAAAGAGTCACTTGGCTTTGTTGCTTTCCCGTCTCTGCTTGAGTGGCGCTTGGCTTTATTGATTTCCGTCTTTTCTCATTGAGCTTTTCTCTTTTTTCTTTTCCCTTTTCCCTTCTTTCTACGGAGTACGGAGTACGGAGTATTTCTGTTTTCTGCGACTTGGCATTCATCTACTCTGTACCGTACAACCAGGTAGGAAGGTACTCCTCGGCTTTGATCGTTTGTACTACCGTACTGCTTACTCCGTTTCTGGTCCGAGGCCCGGCACCCTTCCTCTTCCCCCTCCCCCTCTGCCCCTCCACCCAAGGTCAAAACCGGATCACCTCACAAGGTTGTCCACTCCAGCAGCTGACTACCGGTACTCCTTCTATTTCTACTGTTTGATCGACTACCTACCGGTACTTACTGACTTAGTCATCTAGATCTTCGCAGACGACAGATGAAGAAGCACTAGTTGTACTACGGGCATCACATCATCTTCCCTTCCGTCGTGGCGAAGGTTTTCCCTGGCCCGTTCTATCTTCTTATCTCCCCCCCCCCCCACCGGGTCTAGACTCTAGAAGCCTAAAAGAAGCAAGGGGAACCAGTGAGCCCCTCGGGCCCCAGTTCCTGACACGCCGAGCCAGAAGCCAGGGCCCCTACTGTACCCCCCCCCCCACCGTCCGGCACGTGCTCGTGTCTCGTGATGGCCTCTTACCGAATCATCACAATAATAGGTATCAAGATCAACAAGAACGCATCCGCGCCTTCATCGCGCTAAGACAAATGCCTCTCCACCCTGTCCTGTTCGTAGGCTCTCGAGATCCCTCTGATTGCGGGATGAGTAATGATGGGATCGTTACGATACGGAGATTGCAGTTGTGCAGCCAAATCCGCCTAATCAAATCACCTCGTATCATACATATCGCCAGCTCACATCGCTAGACTCGGTACTAACCAGCCATCCCGTTCCACTTCGCAGTCACCGTAAAATGGCTATGTATACAGTATGAAACATACTTAAGATGATTTGAAATCTTGAAAAGAAGAACCCCTCCTTGGCTAAATAGCTACCGGTACCTATGCGTCCGTACAGAGCGGCTCACACGGTTGGCGGCTATCCGAAATACGGGGAAGTGGGGCAACTCTCGTATGATACTCTATCGTAACCTAGGTAGGACCAGGTACGGTAAGTATACGACTTACGTTCCTCTCTCCATTCTACTCTTTTCTATTCTTCTCCATTATATTCTATCTTCTTCAGTTTTCCACACAGGCCCCCAACTCGAGTCTGCGCCTCGACAGATATACTACGAAAGACTGCCTGATCGACACATATATATGTGATTTTGTGTGTGTGGTGGTGTTGACGAAAAGAAAGAAAAGGAAAAGAGAGAATGGAGAAAAAGGACGATTGAATTTTTTTTATTCGTTTGAGTAATCAAGTCATTGTTTCCTGATTGCTCCGACTTCGAGAAAAAATACAGAAGGAAAGGAATCATTTTGTTAAGACACAGTGTAAGTACCTTATGGAAGTAATGCCAGAAGGAGCAGCCGGAGCACTTGTTCGCATCTAAGAAGGCAGACTCTGGATCCACCATGCCCATATATTTTTCGTACCAGCCGCGAGCGTTTGACCAGCTACCGCCACAATCAAATCGCTCGCCGCTACAATTGAACATGAACCATAACGCGTGTCTGGCACATTGCCGCGCTAAGCAGCACTTGGTCAGCCATATAACATCTGTGTAGTAGGTCTAAATGTAAAACTTCGCAGCAATGATACTCAGATATGTTCAATAGGACTCGCCGTATAGAGGATGTAGTCAAACAAAGGAGAGCGAAATATTTAGGTATCTTCAAAATGCTGGTTCTAAAGTCGTCGAGAACAAAAAGATGGAGGATGACTAAGCGAGGCATCATCATTATGAGCTCAAGCTTGACTTCATGGCGACCGTTTAATAACAAGGAATCTCATAGCCCTCGCGAATGCTTCCAGGTTCTCAAAATGCCGCAGCTGTCAGATCTCGCGATAAGATTCCATCGCACGATATCTTGATCGAGCCCTTGTTTCTCTACGCTCTGCTCTTCCTACACGCAATAATCGCAATGTTTACGCCCCAGAAGCCACGGCAACGGCCGGGCGCAGCGCACACGCCGAGCAAGACAGTGCCTCTGAAGGGCTTTTTCGATGATGGCGTTTGGCATTGTATGTATAGGATAATCATCGGAAAATATTCGCAATTATTCGAGAAAAGCTCAACGATTACAGGTAATTGCGATCCACGAATCCCAGCCTCCAACTTCCAAGTCAAGAAACAAGGACCGAATAATGGACGGTGGTTCTACACTTGCCAGAAGCAAAGAGATGACGGCGGATGCGGTTTCTTTCTGTGGAAGGATGATGCGGTAGGAAGGGAGAAGCGCGCTGTAATGGGTAATTCGAGGAGTGAAGTCGAAAGGCCAGTAACGCCTACTCCGAGGTCAGCAAATGGGCGGATTCCGGCGAGATATTCACCGGAAGCTGGCTCGGGGGCCGATCAGGAGGACTACTCGGACTGGTCGCTTTCACCGGAGGATGAGCGGGACCTGGCTAGAAGACTTGGGCGTGACAATCCCATATCTTATCCCCCAGAAACACCGCGGAAGATGATCAAGACGAATGATATGACAACACCTGGCAGCAAGAGGAAGCTGGACGAGCATGTATTGCCCACACCGTCGACCGGTGGAAAGATATTGGGGAGATCAGGTCCTGGCCATCACGACGAAGACATTTTCACGACTCCAACTTCGAGACTCAAGGAGGGCAAGTGGGAAGGCAACGAGCGCTTCGGTCTCCGCAGTCCTTCCGGTACACCGACGCCAACTCGGTTCCGCGAAGGTACTGCATTTACCGAGACGCAAGGCGATTCTCAAGGTGTTCGACCGCCTCCGAGCTACGACATTAGTGACGAAATGTTGGAATTACTCAAGGACTCTTACATTGACGGTGACACGATGGCTCGCTTGAAAGCGTTGCTGTCTAAACATGCCATGAGGGTCTCAGGCATTGCTAAAGGAAGGGACATAACGAGAGTCGCGCTGAAAGCTAAAGACAGCAAGATTGCGGAGCTTCAGCAGAAGATCTCGTCGTTGGAGGCGCAGAGGGAGATGGACAGAACTGTCATTCGGCACCTCAAGAGCGATATGTCCGAGGGTGTTGAGAGGAGTCGTGGGGAATCCAGAGGAACAGGCTCATGATGAGAGGCCGCTCATTAATCCAACCAAGCTCCTTGATGCCAGTTTGCTGTCATCGGGACCCTCAACGACCTTCGTATCAAAGACTCGGGAAGTAGTCCAGCTCATAAGCAGCAAGGCAAAGGATTTAGGACCTATGTTTCTCCTCGGAATGAATCTAAATTCATCAAGCCGAGTTACCACCCTTCCAGTGCGGATGTTCGCTTACACATTCGCCGAAGATCTGTTCCCAAAAGGCTTCATTAGATATCGCAGGCCTACCAAGGCCTTTGATGTAAACCTGGAGAGCGAACGCAGGGCTATCATTTGAACCTCCATCTTCAGAGCTGCTGGAATTGTGCAAGTACAGAGTAGAAAGCACGACCCGAATATACTTTCTGTACACATATGCAACCCGCAATATGTACAGTTGGAACCCCTTTCTCTTTAAATTTTTCCGATTCTACCTATCGCTGCTCTTTACTAAAGGCACTGCGAATAGTACTCAGTACTGAAGGCGCAACTCGTGCCCGCCACACACCTCGTACTCCCGGTATACGAAGCACCACCACACTGCCCATACTTCTGCACCACCGACCCCCCGGGTGGACTCGAGTTCGGCGTTGGACTCGCTCTACTACCACTCTTCACCACAGTACTCTGCTTCCCCACATTCGACGCACCCGTTGGCACCTCATCAACCACATCGTTCGCTCTCACGCACCCGGTCTTCGCTGTCAGAGCCGCCGGACAAGTGACCTGCTTGAAAGTCACGGCGGGATTGTCAGCGCCCATGAACCAGTCGAAGCGCCAGTAGCAGCCCGCCTTTAGTTTCTCGGGAAAAGCGTCACATTGTGAGCGTGAGGGGACGCCACCGTATTGGGCGCCCCACCCGGTTGAGGGAGTGCCAAATTCCGCTGTGCAGGCGTTGAAGATGCCGAACCCTCCGCCGGGGATCTATGGAGGTTGTCAGTTGTGGTCTGTACTTCTCATGGGAAGAGGTTGTGAAACGAAGCGAGACAGAAATAGGGGTTGGATTGGAGTCGGGAAAAAAAGTACTCACCGCGAGATCGAATTGGTTCGCTCCTAGATCACCCCCCGTGTTCGTCGCCTGCACAATCATTTTCTTGCCTACGACCGGCCCGCTCGTGAACGTCAGCTCATAGCACGCACAGCACCAACTGGCTTCTGTGCCGCCGGAAATACTTGTCGCTGCAAACCCGTAGGCAAGCGTTTCGGACACGGCCCAGGGCGATTGGTTCGAACACATGTATGAGAGTCCATCCGACGGACATGCCGATGTGGCTTCGTAGTTGTCGAGTGGGTTATCGTTCTTGTCGCAGGAAGTTACCGGGTTGGAGCCAGCTGCCAGAGTCGCTTTCTTGGTCCAGCCGCAGGAGGGTTTGCAGCAGTCCCAGTCTGAGGATTCGGTCCGAGTCAGTTAGATGTGAAGGTCTTGGGAGCGGCGGAGGTTGGAGTTGGAGATTTACGAATGCTGGGACTTGAGAGTAGTTGGGAAATCTGCTTACAGCGGGTTGTCCTTCCAGTCATTTCTGAGGCTTGGGAACTGACGCGTAGGAAGAATGGGAGGAGAGCGAGGAGGGCCTTGGTGGTGGTGAGGAGCATCTCGAACAGCAACTTCACATCAAACAGGTACTAACAACCTCCTCGTTATGGAATATTTACAGTCAGGTCTAGAAAGAGGGAAGGGAGAAGGGAGAAGGATGAGAAACCGGCACAGCCCATGGTTAAATACCCGTTCCCCCGTGCTCTTCTTCATCTTTTCTTCACCCACCATTACCAGCGTTGACATGCGACTTGAAAATCCCGCATCGTGGGTAAATTGCAGGAACCAAGGGCCGACGTCGATCATCCAGAGAGCGGTTTAAGAATGGTAAAACTGTATATCGGGCGCCATGTTCCCAAAACAAGACCGTTGGTTGGTTGCTGATTGGGCTCGGATGGAGAGGAACAGGTCGGTAGGTAGTCAATTAGCCTGTCCTCTATCAGGGAACGTCTCCTGCAGGGATCTGGAAGGTAGAGGTCCGTAACTTGAATCAGATCCGGGGTCGATATACCGTCAGGAGGGGGTGGTGTGGTAGTTAGATTCTGTTGCGGAATATTGGATGTCGCAAGGTTGTATTCGAGTTTTGAAACGCAACCTTCTTGATGGTAAAGTAACAGATAAACAGCCATTTGTTGTTTGTTAGGATATAACTGGAAGAGAAGCATCTTTAGATTTTCCTCTTCCCCTCATCCGTCGGGTTTTCTTTCTCACTGTTTATTTCTGACGGGAAGTTCTGCGCCGGTGGACCTGCTAATGATAGGTTACGGATCTTTTGCTGCCACGGCTTCTACTTCAGCTTGGAGGTTTCTTTTGTCTGTCTTTTTTTTAGATGGCTTTTCAGCTTGGTAAGAACTTAGAAGAGTATGCTTGACACAATCCTTATTAAACATTGCTAGTACTTATCTAGTGATAATACTAGGTCACAGGAGGAAGCAGTCCTGATGATGTGGTTTGACTTGACTTGTATTCCCCAGAACTAAGAATTAAGATAAGGTTGCAGTATAAGAACTAGTGCCAAGGCCTGCGATCCGTGCACCCTGCTCTCCTTCCACTTTTCCCAGCAACACACCTCTCTGTCGAGGCCTCAAAAAGCTCTCGGCAGCACCCAATTGTATCTTAACTAATATACTTTTTTTGATTGATTTAAGTACCACCTCCAAGCACACGGTCCACTTAATATAATATGTACGACCTCTACTGTAAGAAGGGAAAACCTTGAATTGACATACCACCCCTTGCTCATACACTCACCCTTTTCTCAACACTCACCCCTTGCTATACCACCCCTTTCTAAGCACCTCTCTAAGGTCCTAGAATTGCGCGAAGGCCAAGCTGATATCGGAGGAAAGAGTGCCAAAGGCGTAGTAGTTGAGCGTGATTATCGTCTGAGTATTAGGTGCTATAGCTAAGTTGACTGCGGTCAACTTGCTCAGTTGCAGCAACGTAAGGGAAAGTCTCTTAAATAAGAGCCGGAAGAGCGTATTAATCGGTGACGAAAGCAAAAATTGCGCAAGATTTATTCATCCTTAATAATAAAAAGCTTGGCACCCACCTTACAGAACTCCTTGTCGGTAAAGGTAAACAAGTTGTTTCTTCTTTAGTAACCGCTAATCCTGCTCAATCTGAAGCCAGAATAAATATTGACTGATGATTAAAAGAAGTAGAGTGTATTGTAACACTCTAGCACTCTTATAGTACCGCTAGTTTTAAGTGATTTGATAACACGAGTTCCAATACCGAGGGGGCGAACTAGACCACTCAAAGTGCTCATATGGAAGAGATCCTTTCTAGTTATATAGATAGAAAACTTAAAAAGGTTGTTGCACACGTAACCAGTTGCTCTACTGTAGTATCGTAGAGCTAACGGTCCTTGTGTGCGGTGTCAAGTGTTGGATCTAAACTTGAAAAGAACGCGTGTCCGAAAATCTCGCTATCAACGTCCTTTTCCTCCTTCTTTTTATTTCCCTTACTTTTCTTATTGTTTGTGCGCTAAAAGTAAAGGACTGACTTCTTGCTAGATTTCTTTTCGAAACGCCTTTCGTACCTCTTTGTTGATTATAAAGCAATCTTCAAGGGTATGAAATGGTTTTTAGGCTGCTTGCAATAGTGAGTGGGGTTAGTATTCCACAAACACCGAAAGGAATGCTTGAAGCCTTAGAAATACTTTGAAATACCTTGGATCAAGCTGCGAGGCTCCTAACCTATTGCCAGTACTTATCTAGTAGTAATACTAGGTCACAGGCGGAAGCAGTTCTGATGATGTGGTTGACTTGACTTGGATTCTCTAGAACTAGGCATTGGGATGAGGTTGTATGTAGTACGGTATAGGAACCAGTGCCAAGGCCTGAGGTCCCTGCAGCCTGCTCTCCTTCCACTTTACCTACTTAGCAATATTAAAAAAGCGAGAGTATATCTAACCACAACCTTTCGTCAAAGTGTCTTGATGCCTGACACTATGCTATCGAAATAAAAGCAACAACTATTTATTTTACATGTATTATAATAAAGAGCAGAACTCTCCAAACCTCCCGCCTCCTAATCTCCTGACATTTCTCATCTTGCTTAGAGATGGAAGCGCAAGTATCAATCACGCCCCCTGGAGATGGGCCTGGAGATGGTGGCAGTCTTTCGGCGCTAGCAGGCAAGCGAAGCACACTTGGCAAGCTTATCTCCGGCACAAAATTGTTCATGTAGATATATCACGAGATTATTTCGTCGCCGTCCGTCAACAGGTCGGCTGAGTTGGTGTAATTGGGTAACGCGGTGAAAAAGCAATTTGGCGCAGAGGAAGCGCGCGGGGCTCATAACCCTGAGGTCCCAAGATCGAAACTTGGAATTGCTATCAATACAGTGTCGCTCGATCCTTAGTACTCTTTTGGTATTTTTTCCCTCTACTAATTGTTGCAACTTTCCTTAAGCAGTTTTTGTGGGTATGCTATCATTTAGCTCCTTTAAAATCAATTTTTTTTTCAGACTACTTTGTGAAAGAAGGCGAAGAAAAGCGCGTTTTTTTTTCAGCGATGGGATCGAAATGCCGGTCAGTTGATCTCTCGAGGAGATGGTCAAGTAGGATGGATGCTTCGAAAATACTTTCTCGTTCAATTCTTGTATAATTTACTAGCACGTGACCAAGGCGCTTTCACATGACTTTTCTCTAGGCTTACATTGTCCCTTTATGCTTTGGAGATCAATGAGTGGTAGTGGAAAACGAACGAGATTATTGGGAATGACTCGCATAAGAATCCAACGGAGTATCTGCATTAGACAGAAAGGTATCATCGCGGTCGTTTGCAAGCTGCGTTTTTGGAGAATGTCTCAGAAGAGATCATTCATCTGGAAAAGAAGATAACGGGTATGGAAATTGACCCGAGTCTAAAGGGTGATATTGAAATTCAGAAATCAGACTAGAACGAAAGCGGACTTGTTGTTGTGTGCGGATGGACAGCATTTTGCAAGTGATGGCGTGTTCTCAGCGGATATAGTCGCTGATCGTTAGCCCCGGTGTACTATAGGAATTCGCCCCCGGACTTCAAGCTCCACTGGGGTAGGATGACTGCTTTTCGTTCAACTCTCGACGCATCTCTCGTAGAGTCAATATCCAGTTTTCCTGCTGATTCAACTCATTGATAGGGTCCTGCGACTCACCTCTTTGCTTTCAGACTGGGTCAGAGCAGTTATACGACTACAGGCAGTATATACAGCGACCCAAAGGACCCATGAGCACTACAGAGAGACGTGTCTCTTGGGATCAATCTGATAGTCTGGAAGCTTGTAGGGAAATAAACAAGTTTTATTGCGAAACCTTTCCTGATGAAGGAAACGAATCTAACAGGAAAAGAATTGGAATCCGGCTGTTAAGAGACTGATACAACTTACACCTGACGTTCAATTCTATCCAATCTTCACCTATTTTGCGTACCTAAAAATCTATATTCTGGAAGATCACGTAGCTCTTATCGGTCATGCAGCACATGCTCATGGCGGAATTCGTGCTACTGGAGGGTCTATCGCCATTGACAACGCTTGCACCTTGTCACTTGCTATTAATTCGGTCTTTCCAATGACAGCGACCGCCAGACCAGCAACATATGAGCTATCAAAGGCGCTGAAGCTATATGAGATGATCCGGAAGCTTACGCTGAGCGATTATCGAAAAAGGTGCGTGGGAACAACGATACACGGATTGAGAAATTCCTGAATGAAATACCGGAGTCGGACGAGGAGCCGAGGGCGAGAGCTGCGAAGGGATCGAGTACTAAGTGGTTCTATGAGCATGATTTTGTGATGGCTTTTGAGAATGCTGTGGTAAATCGCAAGTCTCTTCAAATTGGGACGCAAGGGAATTTACCTAAATTGTGATGATTATGTGCTTGAGAGCTTTCGCATGTTTATTTAGCCTTGGTTGGTTATCCAGTCCCAATGCTACCTAACACGACGATGAACGATGAAAGCTCAAGATTAGAGTAGACAAAGAGTCAAAGACTCGGAGAATACAGAATATTGACTGACCAAGTGCTCAAATATTTCTTTCCACCTCAAACTTCCGCTTTTCGTCGGCGTGAAGAAGAGAAACGAAGCAATGAGCAACGAACAAGCTGGGAGTTTCAGGGCCCAGAAAAAGACAAGCCTAAAGATGCGTGAGTTTGAAAAGAAGCAAATTGGTCGACCTGGCCCCATTCGTCGAGTTATAAAAGACCGCTCGAAAGAAACCCAAAATCAACCTCATCTCTCGCACCTGCCTTATTTCGACTTACCTCCATCAAAGCACCACGCTGACGCAAATTCAATCAGCTCCAGATTTCTTCTTGCCCATACTCCAATCTCGAAGTCTTGTAATTATGCCATCAAAAGATTTCAACCGTGTTTGCTTGCGATAGAAGTGAACTGGGAGCGAACCAGTGGAATAAGCGACGTCTCTGAGGTAGACAGATGACCAACTATGAAATGCACAAACACTTTGTGCGGAGTAGGCTTAGGTCAAGGAACTAGCTCTGGTTAAAAATCATGAACCCGTATCTACCTCCTAATCACTCTGAATAATATATAGATTCAATAAAACTTCACGTGCCAAATACAATTCGCTTACAGCAGCCCCACTCCAGCTGGGCCTTGTCTTCTCCAAACAACCACCTCCAGAAAACATGAACGACGCGACCCAAGAGATAAACTACGACACCACCAAGATGAATGACGACAGCGATATGTCGATGTTTGCTTTCCGCGACATTCACTATATCCCCTTCGGCTACTCCGGGACTCTCGCACCATACATAGAAAGTGGCCCGGGAACGATGCGCGCGGCAGCTGAGTTGATGGGTTTAGGAGCTGTATTGCAGGACGGCAAGGCTGCTGCAACTGTCATTTGTGATCTTGGCTGCGGCGATGGTGAATTCCGTACGAGCGGCGCGATATCCACAAACTCTACCCCTTTGCCCCAGGCCTAGGGAACAGCTTCCGCTGGAGCCTTCCGCGCTAGTGTCAGATATCCTTTGACCACTCCACCCCTTCTCATATTGTTTCTGTTTTCTGTAATGATACGACTTAAACATGCTGAATGTGTGGGATCAAAGTTATTGGCCTACTCGATCATGTCAATGGCGTCGCAAACAATCTTTCCATAGCCCAAGGCGTCGGAATCGACTACGATACAGAGCTTATCAGAACAGCAGGCGTCAACTCCTTAGCGAGAGGAGTTGACTCACAGTGGCTCGTCTACGACTTCAACGATGATCTCCAGGATCTTGCTCGCACTCTTATTGATGTTCATCATATCACTCACATGTTCATCTACTTGGTGCCGAAGCAGCTGGCTCTGAAGACTGTTCGACAGGTGAGTCATACAATATTATGGTGCTGGCATACATTTTTATGTAGGAACTGAGCTGACTCCCGGGCTTATACAGATTCTGATCCGCCTAAGTGAGAATGGGGTAGTGCTTTGCTGCCATAAGTTCTACCCAGATTTTCTAACGCCGACGAGGCGCGATGATGCGATGAATCTAGTCGTTTACGACAAAATGGGATGAAGACAGAATTAAGGGTTGTATTTTCATGTGAACAATGCCTACTGGTCGCTCAGTTCGGGTAGAAAGGGAGATACCATCACCAGGTGACTGCAGATCATGCCGGCCGGCCAAAGCATAAGTTGAGGAATCACGAAAGCTGAGAGAAGATTATCAGCAGATGCCATGAAGAAGCTATCAGACTCAGACTCGGCCTGAAACGAAGCCTTCAATCGAAAGTCCTCTGAAAGTTCCCCGCCTTACATCCTCTCATGTGCATCGATGAGCAATTTCCCTTTCTGTCGTGCAGTCCGGGGCCATGCTATGCCGTAGTCAGCGTTCCATCCCCCCTCAATCTTATCTCTAATACCCTAAATTCCTTCAACATACCTCTCGCTGCCTCGCGTCCCGCAGATTAACCCTTGTTGAAACAGCCATGTCGAAAGGGAATAGCTCTTTTAGCTATCTATTCCGTCTAGTAATTCATTACTAATCTATTCTGTGCAGATCTGACTATCCTCAATATTATTCCGCTGTTATTTAGATCTCTGATACACAAGGTTTCAGGTAACTAGCTTGAAGAGCACACGATAGACCTACCTAGTCGAGAGCAACATCAGAACAGATAAGGTATTATCGTCGTTAGTGATTTCTCTTTCTCGATTACGGCAACAACCACGCCAACCTGAGTCGGCGCTCTTTTGGACCGAAGCCTCAGTTTATGCTTCAACCATCAACGTCAACCCCCTCGGTATGAACGCACGGGAATCCTCAAGCATGATTATGCTTCCGCCTAGATTGGGACATATATGCTTTGTGACTGGACAGTCTTTCCCAGCTATCTATCTATCATATTGCTTGAGTAAAGGGTGGTACAGCATCTGATTCTGAGGGTGAGAAACGCCCTTGAAGCGCCCTTACGGCCAGATTTCTCGCGATGCCATGCGTCTGCTCAGCCATCGGTACCACCAGGCAGACAGAGAGGGGACTTTTACCACCACGGCACGGCACTTGGGGTATGCCAATCAAGCATGGCGTACGTGTCATTTCACCATCGCAGGAGTCTTGCAGTATTTCGCAGCATGGGGGGGTTTTTTTTTTTCTTTTTCTTTTTTTCTGCAGGCAGCAGGCAGGCCCGTCTAGAGTGGCCTACGGATTCTCAGCCGTAGCGATTTCGATACTGGCATTTCTCGGCAAATCACTGCCGCTTTGCTTCAACGACTTCAAGCGACACAGCCAACCGTCAGGGTGAGCTCCGAAGGACCCCTCGGATAGGAGTTTCGTCTTCCATGTTTTCGGTGTCGTGTACGCTCCGTTATTGCACCCTTGGCGTGGCGCCCTTGCAGCAAACAGCAAAGCTCTGCGGAGATTTTGCCACATTTCATATCTTGCAGTCTAAGCTATCTTGAAACTTGAACACTCGCCCAAAAGAAAAAAAAAAGGGTAGGAATGCCGGTTTGGAAAAGACGGAGATTTTCAGTCTTGAAAGGTTGAACAGTTGAGCATCTTAAGAGTTGCCAGCCAGGTAAAACCAGCCACGAGGTAAACTAGGCGTCGCTTCCGCCTTGGTCGTGGGTTCCAGAGCAGAGTAAACGCAAGCAGAATAAGGTAAATATTGCGACAAAGATCACAAGGTCACAAGGTCATGGAAAACACCGTCTGTCTGTAGTAGGTGGGATGCGTAGCCATGATTGCTTGTGCCGAGATAGGGAGAGATCCGGAACGTGAATACTCTAAGGGACTCCTCTCGTCACGTTACTTTAAAAGAGAGGTCTATGTACGAATCTTGATGCATTGTAAAAACCCGAGACGCAATTACCGAGACTATGCTACAGGGCTAAAACCCAGCCCGCCACCGCCAACAACGCGCGATAAACAAGAGGGAAAAAAATCTAGTAGACACGCTTGAAAGGAGGCACAGCCGCACACTCGGCCTCGTCTAACGTATGCGCGACGACACCTCTGTAGCTAAGATCCGTCTTGCCATGTGGCGTCTTCTGGTAACTCAGCGTGTGCTTCATCCAGTTATTGTCGTCGCGGTCTGGGAAATCCTCGCGGGCGTGGGCTCCCCGGGACTCCTTTCTGGCGGCCGCTGACTCGGCGGTTTGGACGCTTTGATTGATTAGTACCTGGCCTGCAAAATCTCCGATGGGGGTAGGAGAAGAGAACACTTACGCGCAAGTCAACAAGTTTCTCAACTCCAAAGTCTCAACCAAATCCGAGTTCCAGATCATGCTTCGATCCTTGGTTCCAACGTCCTTGAACAGCTGGTCAACCTCGTTGATCTTCTTCACCCCCTCATCCAGAGACTCTTGGGTTCTGAAAACGCTGACATCTGTTTGCATGGTCTTCTGCATCTTCAGGCGGATCTCGTGGGTGCTCAGTGGGCCATCGGCGGTTCTAATTTTATCGAGCATGCTAATGGACTCGGCACCTGCATCGGCGCTGATCTCCTTGTGTGGCATGCCGGGCTCGAAGTTATCACGGACGGTGTGGGATACGGCACGACCGAAGACGATCAAATCCAGGAGGGAATTGGCTCCCAAGCGGTTGGCCCCGTGCACAGACACGCAAGCAGCTTCACCACAAGCGAACAGACCTGGTACAACCTTGTCCTTACCAGCCTCGTCAACTGTGAGGACTTCACCAGTGTACTTGGTTGGGATGCCACCCATGTTGTAGTGCACGGTGGGGAGAACTGGGATAGGTTGCTTGCGGACGTCGACACCGGAGAAGATAGATGCGGTCTCAGAGATACCTGGGAGACGCTCGTGAAGGACCTCGGCGGGCAAATGGCTGAGTTGCAGGTAGATGTGGTCCTTATCCGGGCCAACACCACGACCTTCACGGATCTCCATAGTCATCGATCGGGAAACGACATCACGAGATGCAAGATCCTTGGCAGTCGGTGCGTATCTCTCCATAAATCGCTCTCCCTCCGAGTTGAGGAGGTATCCACCTTCTCCACGAGCACCCTCGGTGATCAAGCAGCCAGCTCCGTAGATACCAGTCGGGTGGAATTGGACGAATTCGAGATCCTGGTTAGGCAGACCAGCACGGGCAACCATAGCCATACCGTCACCTGTGCAAGTGTGGGCGGATGTACAACTGAAGTAGGCACGTCCGTAACCACCAGTAGCAAGAACAGTGTTGTGTGCTCTGAATCTGTGCAGAGTACCATCCTCTTGGTTGTATGCGATAACACCCTTGCATTCGCCATCCTCCATAATCAAATCCATGGCAAAGTACTCAATGAAATAGTTGGTGTTATGGCGAAGAGATTGACCATAGAGTGTGTGTAGGAGGGCGTGTCCAGTTCTGTCAGCGGCGGCACAGCATCTGTATGCCTGTCCTCCCTTTCCAAACTTTTGCGATTGGCCTCCGAAAGCACGTTGATAACTGTGGCAGTTAGTAAATGAGTGCAAGCCCTTCGATTCAACCTACATCTTTCCGTCATCCGTTCTCGAGAAGGGACAGCCGTAGTTCTCTAACTCAATAACAGATTGTGGTGCCTCTCTCGTCATATAATGAATAGCATCCTGATCTCCGAGCCAATCCGAGCCCTTGACCGTATCGTACATGTGCCATCTCCAGTCGTCCTCGTGCATATTACCCAGCGCAGCGTTGATTCCTCCTTGGGCGGCTACGGTATGACTTCGAGTTGGGAAGAGCTTCGATATACATGCGGTGTTGAAGCCTGCCTCGGCGAGACCGAAAGCTGCGCGCAGCCCAGCTCCGCCGGCACCGACAACAATCGCATCGTACTCATGGTCCTGTTGAATCCCATCAGATACATCCCAATCGCCTCTGTCGCGGGTGTACATACCACCACGGGGTATTTATTGCTGACGAACGGGGAGGCTTCTTTCGCTCGGAGCGGCGCGTGTGTGATGATGCGAGCTAGATGGAGTTAGTGCTCGAACGGGGCAATGTTAATTCTCAACTATTCGCATAGCATACCAGCGGATCGCGTTGCAGAGAAGGCTCTTGTTTGATTTCTTAACGCCTTCGACAGCTGGGAACGCGGGGGGATTAGCTACTATGGTTCCGGGATATGCAGGATAGATAGGATGAGAGCATACCGAAGGGGCAGATGTGAATTTTCGCATTGCGAACGAGGACATATTGGAAGTGGTGCTGAGGCAGAGAAGGGAAGAAAAGGCAAAAGAGGAAGTGGAAGTGGAAGTGGAAGTGGGAATGGAGGAGGGAAGTCTTTGCAGGGGGATGAAGATGGATGTGGAGAGGAGGAGGCAAATTCAATGTATCGATTCCAGTGGATTCGGAAACCGGGGCACGCCCACCACCGACGTCGACATCGACAAGCACTGTGGCTAATCAGCCAATCACGTCCACGGAGATTCACGCTGACAAGACTTGGCCTCCTCGCCTTCTTTGCCTCGGCTCTGGACTCGTCACGTGGCGGGGAAGAAGATTGATCCGGCCGGCTTGTTGTGTGCGCCTCTTGCTCTTCTTCTTCTTTTGTTTCAATAACACCAGACTGCTCATCTTTTTATAATATATACCTCTCTCTCTTCTTCGTTCAATGAATGTTCATTCTTCATCTCTCTCTCTCTCTCT